ACATTGGGTTAACTCCAGAAAAAGTGCTTACCATCTCTCCAGAATAATCACCAAGGTAAGCAAATTGTCAGCACCAGTTCTTTGGTGAAACATGTTAACATATTGTTAAAAGAGAAGTAATTACTTAGTTTCTACATCACAATACCTACCAGCACAAACCAATAAAATTGTTAGAGCTAGAAGGGGTCTGAGAGATTATCTAGTCCCTTCCTTTTGTTGCAATGATAAAGAAACAAAGGCCCAGGAAAGTCAAGTGAATTTCCACCAAGTCACACAGCCAGGTAGTAGCAGCATAGGACCAGAACTTGTTTCCGTAGGCTCCTCATCGTTGCGAGGACTCAGTGAGGTTATGTACAATGAAGAGCTAAACAGACAGTGTACATGAGGGAGACAGTCAACACATGTGAATGTCATTTCTTGAAATTGGTCACTGAATGTTGCATGGCAGCCTTAGACAATAGACATGATCTCGCCCGACCAGCCATTGTACCAATGGGGGAAAAGAACTGAGATCCATTGAAAGCTTACTTTTATCCGCAACCTCACAACTAGATGGTGGCAGTGGATGGACAGGGATCTGAAGCTTCCAAATCGCCCATTCTCTCTTCACTATACAACACTGCCTTCCTCTCACTATTAAAAGTGAATAGTTTAATAACAGATGATGATTCTAAGTATCCCATATATGGCACTGGTGCTAGAATTACATCTTAACCATTTAATGGCAAACTGGGAAATGTCCAGAAACATTTTGGAATAAATAAATTATATAGCAAGGTGGCTGACTGTCCAAATTCAACCTCTGCCTCTTTGAACCTCTTTCTCCTTGCCTCATGACTCTCCACCCAGTGACTTTGCCTTCTGGTGGGAAATGGAACAGGAATCAGGACCTTCAGACTAACCGGACCACCACCCGATTCCTTAAACATCCCATCCTGGTACTTAGCTAACTTACTTCCTGGTATCAAAAGCCAAATAAATGAAGAACAGTCTTTCTGATCAAAAGAACTTTCTCTAAAGAGGATTAGATGGTAATCTAGGGCTCAAGAATTCTGATAAAGTTTAGATGAACAATGAATAGAAATCACCCATTCTCAATTTACTGGGCAAATATGCCTTTCTGCTATGTGCAGTGAATGGTTTGTGTTCTTCACTATAACATCATTACTGAGTATATACTTCACGATCTAATCTACCAGTGAGACACAAGATAAGAAGACAACCACAAAAACTTCATCCGGGGCTCCAGATTATTCATCCCTTGCATTTGTCCACCTCTTGAGAGGTGACAAAATAAATTTCATACCCAATGTTTCTTCTGATCCTCACAGCAATGTAGTTAGTGCCCCTTCTGATTATCATTTGCAAATGAGCTAACTGAACTCAGAAGATGAAGAACCTTGAACAAGGACCACAGGGCAAAAAGCTGGACCTGTCTAAACTGCCAACCCAGCCAAGTGTATGGGTTGGAAGAAGGCCCTCTATCTGTATCTAGGGAGGGGGATAGGGAAGAGGGAAGACAAGGCACAGAAACGGACATTCAACATAGATTTCCCAAAACTCTGTGTTGTGGAACAGCCATGTGTTGCTTTGTGTTCCTTCTTTGGAACCACTGTCTCGTGGGGTAAAAGGTGCCTCCAAATCTGGGAATTAGTACTAGAACTAGCCCCAAATCCAAACAAGGCCATACAACCAACCAGCAGAGTTGAACAGCCTTTATCTATCTGCTTAGGTGCAAATGGGTAACTAGGAAGAAATGTGGAAAAGCAGGATTTTCTGCAAACTGAGTTTCAGGATTTACTGATGAGAATCTGAGTTTCAAGATTCTTGAGATAGGAACAGGAAGGGGGATGGACTCCAGTCGCTCACTGAGAATTCAACACCAACCCCAATCGGCTTCAGTATGTCCTTCCTTTCTCTGATACTTGGTTTCCTCACCTATAAAGTGGAGATAATCTCTTCATGAGGGTTTTAGTGAAGAGTACATAAACTAGTTCATATTAAAAATAAGCTAACAGTAGTAGATGCACCTCCCTTCTTGCCTGAGAATACTCTCTGCTGCTCTCCTGTAACCTCACACACCAGAACCAAGGCACAGAAAACAGGAGGTGTGTATATATTACTTAATTGCAAGCGAAACAAAACCCATTTCAGAATAACTATCATGCAAAGATTCATAACTGTATTTATAAAAACAATTAGTCGGCAAAGGTAAAAATAGCTGTTCACTGGAAGGTAAACTCCCACTGGTGTTCTCTGACACTGGACTCTTGGCCTTCAAACGAGTGGACTTTTGTTTTTTTCACCAATGATTTAACATTCTGTAAAGGTATGTGGAACAAGTTAAACTGCTTGCATATTTCCAGTTGCACAGCACATGGGCTTTTATTTTTTCCAGATACAAGAAGATGAAGCTTGGTGTATATTCCTATGAGAGAATAAACAGAAAACTATTTCTCTCTTTTTAATATATTAGTGCCCTGTAATCCAGACCATATGATCAATAAACTACATAAAAATTAAACCATACTGACAGTTTTAGGCAAAAAGTGAAGCAAGTAGAAACAATTTTTTTCAGGACTTTGGTGTGTGGAATATTAAAATCACATGTTGTGTTATTAATTTTCTTTTGAGAGCCAAATAGAGTTCTCTTGCATAAATTTCTCAAGTAAATATTTGCCTTACAGGTTTCCCCACTAACGTTGTTAGAGGTATTAAATGAGTGGTATTGTAATTAGGCCTACGCGGGGGGGGGGGGCACTGATAAGTCACTTTGAAAATGACTTAGTTGTCATGGCTTTAATGGCAAGGCACATACATTAAATGGATAGCTGTGTGTCTGGTAATAAAATACAAGGTTCTGTTACCATTACTTTTTAGAGGTAAACAAAATCACTTACTTAAACAGGCCAACAGTGAGTAAACATAATAACTAGGTTTAGAATATTAGCTTTGGGTGATGGGGCTGGGGGCAGGGAGAGTTGGGGCAGGTGAAACATAGACCTTCCGTACACTTTCCATGCCCAGCAGAGCAGCTTGGGGTTTCCATGTCCCTGCCTAAAGCATCACTGATAGTGTGTCTTTTTGCAAATTCCTTCACAGTCTTTCTCGTTCAATAATAATAATACACCATCTTTTGGGACTGGAGGAGAGCAATAAGGCCACAAAGGCTGTCAAGCATATGCCAGCTGGGCTTTCCTAATCACAAAGTAGGTCAGTAGGAGGCACACTGCACCGGCTGGCAAGGAAGCACTCGCTCACCCTACCACCAACCCAGCACACCAATAAACACTGGAAGCTCCAGGCAAGTTTACAGTGAACAGATTCAATATGTTTAGCATTTCCTGATTCTCCCCAGAACCAGAGAGGGTCTTTTAAAAATTCAATAGTTTGGCAAAGAAAGTATTCATCTTCCCACTGTGCATGATAATAAGCCAGTCACTTTCAGGAAGGTGGGCCCCCCAGTGACAATTCCTTACATAGCATCTTAATGTTGAATTTCCAAGAAGAGGTGGGGATGGAATTTTCAGTCACCTTTCCTCCTATGCACACAGCACAATTTTTAAATCCTTTAGAGTCCCATCTTTCTTTGACTCTCAGAATTTACTATGGGTCGGCAAGCCAAAGGACCCTGCTACAGAGAGTCATAAACAGAGGTAGTTTGAGTCCAGCCCAAGAGATCCCTGGTTTGCACAATCTGCCTAGACAAATCCATTTCAAAGGGGATGTTAAGTTTCAGTGCAGGAGTTCTATTTTAAGGGAACTGAATAGGGAACACAGATGTTTCTCAGTTAGCAGAGTTGGCAGAGCAGCTCCTGGACCAAATCCGAGTTCTTAATGCAGGAAGGGGCCTTGTAGAGCATCAAGTTCAGCCCACTCACTCAACTGATGAGGAAACTAAGGCCAATAAGGCAGTTAGGTGGCACACCAGAGAAGTTGCAGAGGGGCTGGGTTCTGATGACAAGTCCTGTGCTCTTTCCATTACACCACGATTCGCTTTGAAAAACAAAACAAAACGAACAAACAAAAAAAAAAAACTACGCTGACTTCAACCTTGGAACTTCTGCAGATTCGTGTCAATAGCTTTTCCCTCCCTGCACCGAGTTCATAAATCCTTACTCTCCCACTCCAATTCCTTTTACTCCCACAGCCCTCCCAACTAGTTTGATAAACAACAGTGGACTATCGTCTCAGCTTTCTGAGGTGCATTAATTGTGGTCCGAAAACTTGACTGTGGCTTGTTTTCCCAGTGCCTCAGTTTCCTCATCGGTGAAATGGGGCTCTTCACCCGAACAGCACCGAGTCAGGGAGCTAGTTAAAATTACCCCCTGGCACACAGTAGGCGCTTAAGAAGTAGTCACTACAGAATGGGTACCACCCATCAGTTCCCTAGAGAGCACCTTCTAAAGCCCTGGGGGGTCGCTGAAGAGAGGAGCAAGTGGAAAGGCCAGCTTTCAGATCTGGCCTGGCCGGGGCAGCAACGGCGGAAGGGGTTGGATGTTTACATACAGTCAGGGGAAGGCAGCTCGGCTCCGGGCAGGAGCCCGGCGCTCCAGCAGATCCATTTTACTTGGATGGAGGGCAACAAGCTATGCGCTGGCTCTAGTTCATGGTTCAACCAACTTCCCCTAACTAAAGGGATGAACCCACATTTCCCGTGGGATTCCGCCTGGGCTTCCAAGCGGTGACGGCTTTTAAGGAGTGGGTTTACAGTTGCCCGCGAAAGCCTAAGCACGCCCAAACATTCATGTTCAGGCCGGGAAGTCCGTGGGATCGGGGAGGGCGAGGGCCAGGGGGCCAAAAGGAGACCGAAGTCTCCCCAAGAAGGCTGTGGGGGCCTCCAGGGACTGACAGCGCGGCAGCGTCCGGAGACGCGGCCGGCCGGCGGCCCCGCGCCAGCGAGGAAGTGCGGAGCCCAGCGCGCAGGCACCCCGCCGGGCTGGGACCCGCGCCGAGAGCCGAGGGGCCCAGGGGCCAAGGGACAGCGGGGCTGGGCTCACCCATAAAGAGGCAAAAGAGGTCGAGGCAGATGAGCAGCGCCCGCTTGCTGCCGCCCTTCCTCGGGTTGTTGTTGAGCGAAGGGCTGCCGCCGTTCTTGCTCTCCGGGACGATCGCCTTGTCGTACTTGTAGTTTTGCATGGCGCTGGCTGCGGCGCGAGCCTCCCGCCCCGCGAAGACGCCCCGCAACAGCAGCCACACACCCAGACGCTGGGGTCGCTTCTTGGCCGAGGCTGCTCGGGAGGGTCGGGGGGTCGGCCCGGGTTTGGGGCTCGGAGGCGAGAGTGCGACTTCGCTGCCTGCTCTCAACGCAGATGGTGGTGTTTTCTGCTCCCCTTGAGTGCCTCCGTTTTCTTTCCTTTCTCAACCCCAAATCGTTCGAAAGTCCAAGGGGAAGAAAGCCAAATCCCGAGCAGAAACTTTTGCAGAGCTGCGCTGCTCGAGAGGCGCTGGGTTGGCGCGAGTCTGTGAGCTCGAGCGAGCTAGTGGGCAGCGCGGGCGCTCCACCACCTTCCTCCGCAGCTAGGTGACTTAATGAATGAGAGCTGCGCGCAGCCCAGCCTCTCCGGAGCGCCGGCCCCAACTCCAACTTTTCCTCCTCCTGTTGCTGTGCTGCCGCCGCCGCGGCTGCAGTTGTGATCGCCTCGGGTTTGTTTTCTGCACTTTTATTTCACGAGGTCCTTTAAAAAGAGAGAGAGGGAACAAGAGGGCCCTCCTCACTTGGCTCTGAAGGGATTCAGAAAGCACAGCCCCTTCCTTAAGCTGCCTAAGACGTAGCATAATTAAGGCCACATTTTCCCCCACCCCCTTTAAAAAAATCTAAAAGAAAAAGTTACTCTCAAGCCAGAGAATCAGGGAGCCCCTAGCGTTCAGAAACATCAGATTGTCACAAAAGGAAAAATACATATAAATTTGAAAAAAAAAAAAATTCTTGCTGGCCTTGGGCCAGCAAGTTAAGGCTGTGTAGCTAAAATGCATTTCTCCTCACAAATTTGAGGTTTTAAAGTCTGTTTTCCCCGTCTTTAATTTGAATCGCATTATCCTGAAAATGCTCAAGGAAAACTGTCTTTGGTTTTTTTTTAAGATCTTAATACCCAACACCTATACTGTGCTATATTCTGAGAATAGTAACATGAAAAAAACAGACTGCAGGACTCTGGAGCTAGACTCCGTGGACTCAATTCCTGGCTGTGGCTCTTTGCCAGAGTTTCCCCACATGTAAACTGGAGATGATGCTTTCTCCCAAATAGAGTAATTATAGAAATTTAATCAGTTTACCCATATAAGCACCTAGAAAAATGTCAGGTACACAGGAAGTGCACTATGTGGGTTTCATGGCATTTACCCCTGTTTCTGAGTGAAGGAGTCTCAAGCCCTCAAAGCCCTGGGCTAGCTCAGTGGGCCTCAGCCTGCCTGGGCCCCTCTGGAGGTATGGAGGGGAAGCCCAGGGGCAGGAGTACTCACTGGAGGTGTTGTCTTCAGCTTGAGTTGTTGGGTAGTCTAATGTTTTGCCTTAGACTGTCACATTATTTTCAAATTATTTTGTGCAACTTAGTTACTTAATATTTCTTCCAGGTAAACGTTCCCAGGGCAAGGGCTTTCCTTATATGTTCTAGTGCCTAGCAGGGAGCTAAACACACAGTGAACAATGAGTGAACATTTCTTCCAGATGTCTCTTTTTAGGCGTCCAGTAGCTTTTTAATACATTTATACTGACTTGTTATGGGGTTCATAACCCTATACCCAGTCACCATCAGCCACTGGCCCTTTCTCAAACAGTCTTTTCACACTCCCCCTTGCCCTCCTACTCCCTCTGCCTACAGTGCAAATCCATCCCTTCTCTAGCTTCCAGAACGCTTCTCTCCCGTTAGGGCCCATCCTCTGAAGTGCCACCTTCTCTCTGCGCCCTTTCTTGACCCCTGGACAGAATTAACTTCACCTTTGACACTTTGTTTATAACAGTGTGGTAGCACACATCACAGTATGATTAGGTGTTATAGTTAGTAAAGACTAGTCCACTGTCTCAGCTTCACAGCATCTCCCCAGTACCTGGCACAGGGCTGAGTGGCTGCTGAATTAAACTCAAGTCCAGACAGTAAGGGGAAGCAAGAGTAAATGAATCCCCAAGACAGTGCTGAAGCTGGGACACAGTACAGAAGAAAAAAAGAATAGCAACAAGTACAAGCCAGGGCAACTAACAGAACAGATTCCTTAGGTAGATTTTCAGTGAGAAATACCTTCTCTTGAAATGTTAACATGGCAGAAACAATGCAAGGCCAATTTCATCTTTCTTGACATTTTAAAAGGAATTCAGGGATTCCAGTGTCTCTCCCTTGGCCATCCAACCCTCTTCACAATTATAATCATCCTCAAGTTCCAACTCACCAAACCTATCTTTGAAATTTCAACCTAAAGGTGCTAGTCATCCTGAAACTACACGCTACTCTGACCTTTTCCTTCTTGGAGTTCAAAAAGTCCTTGGGCATCTGTGCCCCTCAGAAGGCCACTTATATTCCACCATCTACTACTCTGTTCTATTGTCTGAATTTTAGTTACCTCCCTTCCTTTTATCTTTGAAATGACGTTTATTAATTCAAGAATAAACATTTTTAAAAGCCAGACCTTTGCCATAGTTCAATGGTACTATAACTCAGCAATCATTGTTGGGCTCTTCAAAAGTACAGGGTAAGATTATCATTTTAGCCGGCACTGGATTGAACACTAGGAACCCATTTTGCTTTTAAGGTTCTCTGGACTAAACTCAACTAATCATTAAGAAGGATAAAGATCAGTTATTCCAGGGGTGAATATAAGGGAAAATCAATGAATGTTTAAATGAGAGTTTTACATTTCTATTTACAAGGGTGTATGGTCTATATTTTTTCCATAACAAAAAGATCATAGTGTTAATTGATTTATGTAGTTGTATGCAAGCAAGTATATTTGGATAATTCTTCAAGAGAACAGGACACTACAGAGACTCATTAAAAGTGACGTGAATAGTCATAAATATAGTGTCAATATCATTCTTTAGATGATAAAAAATAAAACAGCCTACCAGATACATACATCTGAACAAACATTTGCTTTAAACCCTAAAATTGAACAATCTAATTAGCAAGTAAAATGACACAGAACTGACTTGATAGTTTAGAATGGTGTCATTTCAAAGTAATTAAGTGATTAGAATCCCTGGTAAACGTAGCTTACCAAAATTCACACCTCAAGTGGCATCCAGATCACTGAACTCGCCTGTATGAAAACCACAGCATTGGCAGGGATGAACGCCCGAAGACAGACTTATCATGTGCGGCAACGGCGGCACATCATTCTCAAGTGACTGACACGTCCCAAGAGATATAAGTGGCCTCATTTCTAAGATCTTGTTACCTCATATTTTATTTCTCTCTTTTTAACCCCTAACATTCAATAATTAATCATTTTTTAAATTTTTTCAAAAAGGCATGAATTGGCTCTGGAAATATTTGAGAGAGAGAGAGAGAACTGAGTCCCCTTTACATAAAGGCATGTAGTCCAAAGGTCAGAGCCCAAATTTCCCAAGCCATTGACATTCAGTTAAAAAAAACAGATGAGTCTGGGCTACTAAGTACCCATTTATCCAGGTCCTTTAAAACCTCTAGTTTTCCATTTATATTCCAACTCTGGTTTTTTGTTTGTTTGTTTTTGTTTTGTTTTACCCATTGCTTTTAGAGAGAGAGGAAGGAAAAGAGAGAAACATTGATGCCAGTGAGAAGCATTGGTTGGTTGCCTCCCATACACGCCCAGACCAGGGACTGTCATTTGGAATGGGTATCAAACGTGCAACCTAGGTATGTGCCCTGACCGGGAATCGAACCCGCAACCTTTCAATCACCAGACAGCCCTGCAACTGACTGAAGCACAGCAGCCAGGCCCACCTCTGGTTTTTACTAGACAAACATTGCTGATTTGCTACTATTGTTGGACTCTCTCCTGAGTGCTCCCACAGGACAGAATAGAGGCATCCACAGTAACACTTCTGACAAAAGACAGGAAGGAGCAGAGGATTTGAGGTCTGACTATTTTAGATCTGCTGTTTGACCTGAGGCAAGCTGAGCAACTTCTCTAAATCTCAGTTTCCTTGACTCTTAAATGGGGCTGACATTTTTTCTCTGCTTCTGGGAACTAAAACATTAAAAATGAAGTAATACATTGGAAAATAGCTGGTGCACAACAAGCAGTTGACAAATGTTAGTTGAATGTTAATATTTTGAATGAACACTTTACTTCCCATACACCTAATTTAGTATATGTGCTGCAGAAGCACACAATACACCTAATTGAAATACACATATTCAAAAAGTGTTTGTTAACTGCTAACTTTGCATACTCCAAAAAACTCTAAACATTTAATTTTGTTCATCTTTCACTAAGTGCAACAACACCTTTAGCGTCTCTATTCCCATCTTCTTTTAAATGTGCAATTTTCTGAGATTTCTGTAGGTAGTAAATCAGACATGCTGTGCTTTAGACAACTAAGTTCCATAATGTTTTCTTTGGGATCGCTTGTGAAACTCAAGAAAAGCCATTTGTTTAAACTAATAATGTTGTGCAAGTGAGAGCACTTCCATTTTAAAGGCGCTTTCAGCCCTATTATCTTATTTTATCCTTACAACTCACTGAAGTAAGTGGGGTTGCTCTCATTAGCCTATTTTATAGATGAGAAAACTGAGGCAAGCCCATGTACCTGGCTAGAACTGGTTTTCCCCTAGGTAAAATGGAAATGATTCTTGCATTAGTTCCCTCCGCATAAACCAGAGTCCTTTACAGGTTAGAAAGGTATTCACATTCACTGAACTCATTTCAAGTAGGTAAGGCAGACCGCATTTTTGAAATAAAGATACTGAATGTTGAAAAGATAAGAGATGTGTTTAAAGTTGGAGGTAAGGGGATTCCTAAAGCATCACTAGAATTTCAGTTCTCTCAATTTCTAAACCAAGATTCTTTTCTTTATACCACAAGGTCGGTCTCACCCTCAAAGGTGCTCCGACATTCCTGCTTCTCAACAGTGGTTTCACAGAGTAATTTAGAGGGACCACAGAATCAGCCTCAAGTGGATTTAAACAACAGAGGAAAAGAAGTTCTATTTTGTTTTGACTCCTTTCATAGACTTGAAAAGAAACAATATTGTTGCATCTTGTGTCACTGAAAGGGAAGATTTGGGCTCATTATTTGCCAAGTAGTGATTTGTTACCAAAGGGGTCGTTTAAGAACACAAAACCGTGGTGTAGGTGTAAAACAGCTTCGGTCTGTGTGAATATTTTCACTTTTCTGCGAGCCTTTCTTTAGCTAGAAATTGGGGCAGTTAAGAGATAACCTTATGATAAGTCAAACAGTTAATCTTGTTCATTTAAAAAACAGACTCCAGATTGGTGAATTTGCATGCGGAGATGTTGCAGAGTTCTCTCTAGAGGATGTCAAACTAGAGCAGAGCTGAAAACTCAAAAGGAGAGTGATGCTGCCACCTTGTGTCATTGTAGAAAAATGCTATGGCTTCCGAAATGAAGACTCACAGTCGAGGCAGGGGAATGGTTGGAATAAGAATTTGAAACTTTTATATCCTACATGAAATAATAATGACCAACAGTTGTCAAGATTGTCCTCCTCCAGGTATTTGTCATTCCTGTAATAGATGTTTACTCACACCTGCTATGTACCAAGCACTCGTCTAGGAGCTGGTGAGG